ACAAGAAAGCGTAGCCGGCTAAAGCTTAAATCCAGCCACGTGTTCCCTCTTGTGTCGAGTCAAGGCTTGGGTCTGGCTTCCTTAAGCAGAGATATACACACATCAAATAAAAAATAATCAAATCCTACAAAAGAAGCACAGAATACAATCTGCGTTGTATTAGGTCTCGTAAGTGACCTAGAGATTAAGTTTATGTGAGGATGATGTAGGGGTTATGTGCCAACACCGTGACACTGTACAAAGGGGTCGAGCACCTACACATCTTGGCTACTTGGCTACCTGGAATCTTGACCGCCCGTAAGCATGCAGGTAAAACAGTTCACCCTGGTTCCCCTGAAGTGCCGTTGGCAATCGTAAATAAAACAAAAACCCGAAGCTTTTGTTCCTGTCAGTGTGGTTCAATTAAAGCAAACTAATTGGTTATAATCATGTCAAGTTTAGGTAACCTTCCTGCCTGACAAGAATGTAAGTGACTGACAGCTAATCATAAAGTTCTTTCTCATTTCTGCTGTCGAAGCTGCAGGGTAATGGCCGGGGTTTCACACCACCCTCCACTTAGTATTTCTTGGATAGTAATCTATATTTTACTTTATTGGAGGGCAGTACACTTTTAAATTTCCCTCCCAGATTGGCCTGATTTATTCTGGATGCAGCTGTGTGCTGCCTAGTACCTGGGGGAAGTGAAGCAGGGGGGCTGAGGCTTTCAAGGGTCCCTGAAATCAGGGCGTCTGTGGCCTTTGTAGTTCTCCCAAAGGGAGTAGGACACTGGCCTCTGCTTTTGGTGCATTAGAAGCTGTTAAAATAGGAGTCACAGGGAATGCTCAGCAGATGTAGGGAAGTCTTTTGATCACCTTTACTGACTAAACACAAAATAATAGCCTGCTGGTCCTCTCTGAGGAACAAGGAGCCTTGATGTATGTGGTGTTGAGGTCACAAGAACATGGAAGTGGAAAAATTATTTAAGTGCAGAAACAAGAACTTCCTGTTTACCAAGAAAGTTTTCCAGTCTTAGGAGTCAAACTTTTCTTTTGAATGACCCGACTTTTCTTCCCAGATTCCCAAGGATTTATTTTGTTGTTTTGCTTTTGTGGACCGAGACTCCACAGGACCAAAGACCTTATAATGCACATTATCAAGAAATGGTACATGTTTCAATAAGCCTCCACAGCCCCCATGTAGCGGCTTCCTGTGTCCGGCTCCGCACAGACCCACAAAGCAGTGTGTTCTATTTTCAGAAATGCAATTCCAGTTCTAGAACACAGTCTAGAAAAAAAAAAATCTTCTACTGTTTGAGGAAGCGTTTCCCCTGGTTCAGTGCTGTCTGCCAGGTGTGGTCCCTCTGCCGTGTGCCTGGTGGCCAGAGGTGAGCTTGGGAAGTAAGTCAGTGCTCTCTTCCTCCTGTGTGGGGTCTGGGGCTCAGGCTGTCGGGGTTTTTGAAGCAAGAGCTCCACCTGCTGAGGCATCTTGCCAGCCCTGGTGGTGCTGCAGACCTGTGAGCTGGTATTAAATCAGCTTGGCTCCTTTAAAGCCCTCTTCCGGTCCCTGTTATCTCCTCGCCCGTTTTAGCTACTTCTCTGTGCTGTAATGAAGTTCCCTACAATAGCAGCTTGAAGAAGGAAGAGCTCATTTTGGCTTGTGGTTTGAGGATGCAGCTGGTCCATCATGGCAGCAAGAGCATGAGGTGCCTGGCCACGGTTCATCTGGAGTCAGGAACCGCGAGAGAGGAGCACTGAAGCTCAGCCTAATGCTCTTCTTCCACCCCCGCGCCACACAGCACTTTTTTTTATCCATCCCAGGACCACAGCCCGTAGGATGCTGCCACTTGCCTCAGATGCTTCCCCCCTCAACCCCCGCCGTGTGTGAACGTCTCTGGAAATGCCCTTAGAAAGAGGCCGATCTCCTAGGTGACTGTAAATCCAGTCACGTGGACAGTGAACTTGGCACATATGTGGAGGTCAGAGGATCACATCACACAGGAGTCAGTTCTCTCCTTCCACCATGTGGGTTCTGGGGATCAAACTCTGGTCCTCAGGCTTGACAGCAAGTGTCTTTACCCACTGAGCCACCTTGCTGACCCTGCAGATGTGTTTAAAGCTCGTTCCAGACAGGCTTTTGAGAAGCAAGGTTTGCTGATAGAAAAAACAATCCTGCTTATCAGAGAACTAGCTGGAATTCTTCCCTCCTCTGCCGGCTCTCTTAGGTTTCACTTTCTCTCTAGAGCTGGTGACTACTAGGTTTGGAGAAGAAACTATCAAATTTCACCAAGTAACTTTTCTCTAAAATTTTTCTGACCAGATTTCAACTGTCTTGGTATTTGACTCTAATATTTAAACAGTACCCAGAGAACTTTATCATTTGGCAATCTCATAATGTGGCAAAGATTTCCAAGGTGTCCCAAGTAATGAGCGATTGGCGTAAATAACAAACAGACACCAATACAATAGTTACTCATTTTTACTCACAAGCAAACTGTCTAGTCCTGTGAACATTATTATAACAAGTGTCGGGAGAAAAGCTAACAGTAGAATGTTTTGAATTATCAAGGTCAAGCCAACAGGATTATTAGAGTGTCTCTCCTCCGTGAGCTACTGTGAAGTATTTTAATGCTTAATGATAGCCTAGAAAACTTTAAAAGGCACAGCTATTAGCTCCTTGTCTTGCTCCCGTCACAGAGTACCAACAGAAGCAGTTTAGGGGGGCTAACTGTCCATCATGGGGGGGGGCGTGTGCCCAGGGGCAGGAAGTGGCTGGTAGCATGGCATCCACAGTCAGGAAGCAGGAAATGACAGGCTCTCTAGTTCCTGTGGGACTCCCACCTCAGTGGCTTAATCTAGTTAACCCCTCAAAGTCTTGCCCAGAGCTCCCTTCCAGGGTGGTTCTCATCCTATCAAACTGACAATCAAGATCCATGTCACATACAGTTTTCTGTAAATCATCATGAATCAGGTTACTAGGTCCACATGTTTAAAAAGTGCTGTCCCTTATCAAAAGAAAAACAGTTGGCTGCCTTGACTGGCTTGACACTCACCACTACTAATCAGTGACAAGTGTCTTCTGTGCTCTTGATGGGGGTTGTCTTTCATTTAACGATGCTGTTACTGGCTGCACCTGCAGCCAGCCATTCGATTCCTTTCCCAGTATCAGAGAGAGATCACAGTACCCACTGGCCCTTTTGGGGGTGTTTAAAAGAGAAAATTGTACATCATAGCCTGAAAACAAAGTCAGTTAGCCCACTAGGGGACTGAACACATAACTTCCACCAATTACAGTCCCATTAATGCCATTTTCTCCTCAGAGGACCAACTGTGCCTCAGATTCCAGGTCCCTGCTACTGTAATGGGCATGCTCTTGATGGGTTTTCTGCTTTTATGAGGGTTCTGTGAGCACTGCACTGCAACTTCATGCAGTTAGGTGAAGTTTGGTTCAAACTAAGAGGCTTTGGCTAGCAAGAGGGCTCCACGACTAGAGGTGCTTTTCACCAATCCTCAAACCCGGGTTTGATTCCCTGACCCAACATAATAGAAGGAGAGAACTAATTCCTCATGTCCCCTGACCTCCACATGTATGCCATGGCAAGAACATTGCCACCAGCATTACAGTGAATAAAATAAGAAGGTAATTAGAAATAAATTAAAAGGCTTAATTTGTTTTTTACCTCCTGGAATCTGACACAGTGGGGCTTTATGCTTATAATAACAGGAATTTCTTTTTAAAATATTTATTTACTTTATGTGTATGTATATGTTAGCCTGTGTGGGTTTATGTGTACCACATGCATGCAGGAGCACACAGAGGCCAGAAGAGGGCACTGGAGCCCCTGGAGTTGGAGTTATGGGTGGTTGTGAAATGCCATGTGGTGCCAGAAATGGAACCCAGTTGTTTGCAAAAGCAGAGAATGTTCTTATGCTTGCCCCCAACAACAGAAGTTTATTATTTGGATTTCTGGTTGGTTTAATTTTTGACCATTCAACCAACTGCCAACAGACACGTCCGTGGCAAGGTGGCTGCTCTATTGGTACACCGACAGATGCTGCTTCCTGAACTGCTTTGTGGTGTTTGTTTTTCTAGAGACTGTTGTTGTCCATGACTTCTTCCAATGCCGCCTGGGACACTTAGTGAGCATGCAGCACCCCTTCCACATCTGCAAACGATGCAGGTGGGTGTTGTGGGGTGGCGGCCATGATTCTCAGTCAAGCTGGGAGCGGATATTCAACGGCCCTACCGTCCACCTTTAGTGTCCTTCCGTGTGCGTTGTTGTTCTAGAACAGAGGTGAGTGGCAACGCTTCCGCTGTTACTGCACCTGAAACCCGGGTGAGCAGCCCCGGCCTTACTCCAACCTGCACGCCAACTGCCGCAGCGATTGATGCTTCCTTTTTATCCTCGCTTTCCATTCACGACTTCACCCAGGAAACTGATCTCCCCTATTTCACTCCTCTGGCCCGAAAAACCACCATTCCCTTCCTTTTCATTTAATTTTGAAGAAGTAATACATGTTCACGATAAGAACATCCTCCACTGCACATTAGGGCCAGTGAGGTGATAGAGACGCTTGCCCCCAAGTCTGGCGGCCCGAGTTGGATCCCCAGGACCCACACGGAGGAAGGGGAGAACCACTCCTATAAGTTGTCCTCTGACCTCTGCACACACACACCACACGCATGCACACATGTTCTTCTCTTCCCTTGGACAATTTTATATGTATAAATAATAGACGTATATTTTTATTTTTACAAAAAGTAGACTATTTTAGATTTTTGTCTAGAATGTGTTTCACCAGCTTTAGCTATCATAATATTTAAGATCTCATTCTCTCTCTTTTTAAACACAACCAGCAGCATTATATAAACATTATATAGACATTTCTTAGTCTGTGAACAGGGAATCCTAGAGTGAGAATACTGGAAAGCAGTTTCATTCAGAAGTGAAGAAATCTGGTCCGTTCCCTGGCCGGGTCCAGCTTTGGCCCTGGGTTCAGGTCCTGAGATGGGGAAGGGGTATCCGCACAAGGAAAAATTCTGACCATCAGGTGGGTTGAACTCAAGTGGCCCCGAATAGCTTGAGCCGTCTTTATTTATACTTTAACCGATTTTTTTCTTCCAGGCTTACATGACCAGTTCTACCTTTGGCTCCTATTTTTGACTTTCAAGAAATACATCATGATCACTATGAAAGCCCCCACTGCTCCCCTTTATGCCTCCCCAAATACACCTTCCCGCCCCCTATATAACCTTATTCTAGACACAGAGTCCAGCATTTTTCAGGCTGAACTAAGTATCAGCCAGCCACATCCTGCTCTCGCAGGACTTGTCAGCTGGCAGCTACTTGTGGTTACCAAGTTAAGGAATAGACACGGGCACAATGCTTTAAGAACAACAATATCTAAACCCAGACAATTATTTCATGTCTGCAAGATATGCTTTTATGCAGTTCCCTTTTCTGTTGTGGAATATTAGTTGAAGATGTGTTACATTTATTTATGCTGTGAAACATTTGTTTAATGATGCAAAGATGCGTTGCATTCTTTTATGTTGCATTTGTTTAACTCTGTGAAGCTGTGTTGCTTTGCCTGCCTAAAACACCTGATTGGACTAATAAAGAACTGAATGGTCAATAGCCACAAAGGAGAGAGAAATAGGTGGGGCTGCCTGGCAGAGAAAATAAATAGAAGAAAGAAGAGGGGGAGCAAGAAAAGGAGAAGGAGGATGACAGGGGTCAGCTACACAGCCACACAGCCACACAGCCAGATATAGAGTAAGAAGGAAAGACAGAGTTAAAGAATAAAAGAAGGTAAAAGCCCAGAGGCAAAAGGTAGATGGGATAATTTAAGAAAAGCTGGCTAGAAACAAGCTAAGCTAAGGCCAGTCATTCATAAGTAAGAATAAATCTCTGTGTGTTTATTTGGGAGCTGGGTGGTGGACCCCCAAAGAGCAAAGAGTAAACAAACAAACAAACAAACAAACAAACACTTTGGTGTTCCAGTGTGAGGCTCGAATATCCCTAGGACCTGAGAAAGCTGAAAAGAAAACAAAACCAAACCCAAAAGACAAAATACAAAAAAACCCGGATACTGCCCCTTTAAGAAACTGCCTTACAGCAGAGCACTTCAACAACCTTTTTCACGCTAAAGAGAAAGAAAAAACTAAGTAAAAAATGCCTGCCACGGTGCCAGGCTCCAGCGTGCCACAGCTGGGACTGAAGGGAGTGCCTGGTCAAATGTGTACCTCTGACATGGGCCATCTGACCAGTGCTCAGGCTTTAGACTTGGCTTTCGCTACCCAGAAGTAGGGCAGAGCTGAGGTCCCACCGCTTAGCAGTTTAAAGTTTGCTCACATGGTCAAAAAAGATTAGAGATACACAGTAAAGACAGATCCAGACAGACAAAACCTCCAAACAGGTTTGCCGTGGGTATTTGTTCCACCTGTGACCTTGGGGTACCATCCCCTAAGGCGTGGCCTCTTAGCTAGCTTAAGACACTGATTTGATTTTAAAAGGAAAATTAAGAGTTCGCCAATTGACAAGAATGGACCCAGCAGAAGTTGTAGCACCTTTAACTAATGAGGCGATTTCCTCTTCATGGAAAGATAATGAATACTGGCAACGAGCTTGCAGCAATTTTTTTGGAGAGATTAACAACTGTTATCCCAAAAGCAAGAGAATTCATAAAAAAACTAAATGGGTTCTTCCTCACATTGTACGTCAGACACCAATCTCTGGAGTCCCCACATTCTATATTGATGCAAATAAATCAGGAAAGGCAGGATATAAATCAGGAGATTTAAGTAAAGTGGTTCAAAGCCCTTACAATTCTGTACAAAAGTCAGAATTGTATGCCATTCTTATGGCACTAATGGACTTTATAGAACCTCTCAACATAGTTACTGACTCTCAATATGCAGAAAGAGTTGTTTTACATATAGAAACTGCTGAATTTATTCCTGATAAAACAGAATTAACTTCAGATCCCGTATAGGTCTGCCAGGTCCTCTAGCACAAGGTAATGACAGCTTGATCAGTTATTAATATGAAATGTGCTGGAGGCCTCAGAATTTCATAAGAAACACCATGTAAATAGCAAAGGTTTGACAAAGGACTTTTCTATCACTTGGCAACAAGCTAAGGAAATTGTAAAAAAAAAAAAAAAAAATAATTCCTTCTATAACCGAACTCCATTACCTGCAGGAAGTAACCCTAAAGGTGTACAAAGAAATGAAACTTGGCAGATGGATGTGTTTCACTTTGCAGAATTTGGAATTTTAAAATATGTACACCACACTATTGATAACTATTGAGGA